GTATGTTCTGTGTGGTGGGCATAGGGTACGTCTGTGGTGTGTGTGAGGTGGGCATGGTATGTGTGTGGTGTGTGAGGCAGATATGTGTGTAGTGTGTCTGATGTATATGGGTTCAGTATGCAGGGTGTGTGAGGTGGGCATGGTACGTGTGCAGTGTAAGGTGGGCATAGTATGTGTGTGGTGCATATACATATGCAAACACATGCATACCTGTGCACTGCAGATGACAGGCAGGCTGGCAGCCCAGGACATGCAGCGGTGACTAGCTCAGCCAAGGCAGGGCTCCGGGCGGGAGTGGCCAGACTCCTAGCAGCTCAGGATCCTGGATGCACTAAGAGCCTAGGAGGAGAGAACAAGCTGTGTCACCACCAGCACCCAAGTTCATCACTAACATGAACGTATAAGCTGCACTGAAACTGTTCCACTTGTGATTAGAACCAGAAACACTCCGGATGGGCTCAGCACAGCCAAGGCAGGGAAACTGTCCTCAATGTCCTGCTTCACCATCTGCGGCCAGTTCTACCACCAGCAGCCTTGCCAGGCAGTGCCTGCCTTGAGGAAGGGGCCCGGCCCAGGGGCAGGTCCCCGCCGTGCCCCCAACCTTGTGCCTGCAGTCCAGGGGCAACAGGGTGTGGGATCTTTAACTGACAAGTTTTTCCCTCTGGGCCTTATTATAAAGGGAAAGGGAAGGGGGCTCAGGTTCACAGCGGACAGCGAACCCAGAGGCAACCCCAACCCCGTTGCCCTCAGGCACCGGGAGTTGATGCCAGCGCCAAGAGGAGACGGGGGAACGCACCAGCGGCTGGCCCAGCCCAGCAGCGGGACCCGAGTGCCTCCTCCCCAACCCCCAGACAGCGCCTCTAGCCAGCGCCGGGTGGCCATTCGCAGCGAGGTTCTCCCACCCAACCCGGGGATGCGACAGCGCCGCCTAGTACCCGCTGCACTCACCCACCGGTCGTGGGAAAGGGAAGTGGCCAGTAGGAGGGGAGTGGTACCACTGGGCTGCACCCCCAGATCCCAGAAACAGCCGCCCTGCAGCCCCGCCAAGTCCACAGGGCAGCGCTCGGGAGCACTAGGACTGAAACCTCCGGACGCCCCGACGCAGCCGGGTCCCTGCAGCGCCGCGGGAGGCCCCAGGCTGCCACAGCCGGCGAGTCAGGCAGCCCGGGTCCCCCAGCTTACGTGTCCAAGGCTCGGGGCTGCTTCAGCGAGCTGCCGTCCCCACCCCGCCGCCACCCGCTCGGTCCGCGAAGCCGAGCTCCTCAGAGAGCCCGCGCCCAGCCGCACACACCCAACCCAGCGCCTGCGGCCCAGGGGCAACGGTGTAGGATTTTCAATTGAGGTTTTCCCTCTGGGCCTTACTATAAAAGGAAAAGGAAATGGGACAAGATCCGGGCTCGGGTTCTCCAGCCACGGAAGGTACCAGCGCCCCGGCCAGCCCGGTGGAACCCGAGCAGGCGCCCTCCCTCCGTCACCACTACCCTCCACCCCCAACCTCGCCCCCGTCAGGCAGCGCCTGTAGCCGGCGCCAAGTGGCCTGTCGCTGCGGTGACCCCGCGCAGGATGCGAGAGCCGCCGTCTGGTCCCTGCTACACCCGCCTGCCGGTCGTGGGAGGAGGAAGAGGCCGTAGGAGAGGAGTGGAGCCGCCGGGCTGCACCCCCAGATCCCAGCAACAGCCACCCCGCAACCCCGCGGCCCTGCGAAGCCCAGCGTGCAGCGCTCGTAGTGCCGCAATCTCCGCGCCGCCCCACACTCCTCGAGGTCCCTGCGGCGCCGCAAGCTGCCACCTGCGAGTCAGGCAGCCCGGGTCCTAGAGCTTACCTGGCCAGGGCGGGCTGGTGGGGAGGGCTGCAGCGCGCTGCGGTTCTGCCGAGTCGCCGCCCGCTCCGTCCGCGAAGCCGAGCTCCTCAGCGAGCCCGCGCGGAGCAGTACACACCTTCTACAGCGGAGCAGCCCCGGGCGCGTCCCGGAAGCCGCGTACGGCAAGCGCGCAGGGCCGCCTCTACCGGGCGCATGCGCATTCACCCGAGCCTGCGTGACACCCGCCCGGAACCGCTCCCTTTCCCTCACCCTCTCTTGGGTCACTAGGGCGGTAAACGCTTCCCGGAGACACGGCGCGGCGGAAAGAGATGGAATACAAAGATGATGTGTCCGAGCCGGGCGTGCACAAGGCCCTGCGCACCCTGGCCCCGGCGCTGGGACAGTCGGCAGGGCGGGAGGGTGCACCCTGACCGTCGTGCGCGGGGCTGGTCTCTCGGAGCTCACACGGTGCTGGAGCTCAGACGCTGGAAGCAGCGGCCCCAGAATGCCCGGGGACCTGGGGAGCACGCAGATTCCTGAGGCACGTCCTGGCCCTGCTGGCAGGGGAGCTGCAGGGATCCGGTCCTGCGGGTAGAGCCGGTGAAAACGAGGCTCCCACCGTGCCACAGCTGCCGCACTGCGCCCTGCTCACTCTTCCCCACCACCACCGCCGTTGTAAGACGACCCTAGAGCAAGGAACCCTCAGGGATCGCCACCTCCGAAGGCCCCATCCGGCAGGAGAGGCTGTCCCCCCACGGCAGCTCCCCTGGGCGCATGCAAGACGAAGTCTTCCCTACGATCCCCTCTAAGTACCCCAGCACCCCGTTTCAGATACCCTGTGCTGCTTTCGTCCCCAACCCTAGGGCCTCACTCCAGGCCATTCTCTCCTCCGTGTCCTGAATGGAGAGGACCCTGACCTACGTGGCGCTCTGGGGTGCACACACACATCCCCAGGGGAGCCAGTCTTCGCCCCCACAGCGTGAGGAATTCCCTGGAGGCCCTGGAAGGTCGTGCCGGAGACTCCGGTGTCACCTTCGGCCTCTGGCCCTTTCATCGAGTCCCAGGCAGACGTGGTAAGCTGTGGGAGACGCACAGGGTGCCCTGTCTGGGCAGAGTGGGGGCTCAGGTGCCTACCTCTCTGAGTGATTTGCCCTCTTTTCTCCTTGAGGCTGGATTAGGTGAAGCTGTGTCCGAAGTGGGGGGGGTAAAGAAGGACAGGAGACCTAGGGGGTGAGGAGAGCCCATCTTCCTGCTGCCTTGAGGGCCCGAGCTGAGACCCTGAGAAGAAGGGGCTGGGGAAGCCAAATCCTGAGCTGCACTAGGGTTAGATACAGTGTGGAATTGGCCTCTCCTCACTCTGCCCCCACCAAACACTCACAAATCCCCAAGGGCCAGAGCTGCCAGTGGGGGCTGCTCCTGGTAGGGCAGCTTTGTAGCCACAGGGCCAAACAAAGGGGCAAAGGCAGAGCTGGGGCAGGCCAGCGAGGTTCGTGACCCCCTCCCCGCTCAGGTGAGCATACCTTCACTGCTTACTTTCCACCTGGATAGATATTCTGCTTACTTGGCCAACACAAAGTTCATCCAGCCTCCTGTGGCCCAGCCTTTCTTCAATGGCAGTGGTGGGAAGCAACAATTAGGAAGCAATGATTCCAAGAATTCAGTCATCTTGCCTGACCGTTATGTGGTCACATCCTGTAGGAAACCAGACAGCTGTGCCTGAAGCTGATCAACACAACTCTCCCACCTCCTCCAACCCCCACCCCCATCTGTGTGAATGTGTTCGGTCGGGCAAGTTGCATGCTTGTTCCTTCAACAGCCTCCCTTGAGATCTTCCCTTGGGCAGGCTCTGGGCCAGTCACTGGAAATTAAACCCCATCCCAGCACCCAGCAGTGAGTGGCTGATGTCCACAGTCCACAGGATGAAAGATATAAGCCTAGGGCCAGGAAGAGTGGCTCCCACCTGTAATCCCAATGTTTTGAAAGCTGAAGCGGGAGGCTCACTTGAGCCCAGCAGTTCAAGTCTGCAGTGAGCTATGATCATGCAGCTTGCACTCCAGCCTTGGTGACAGAACAAGACCCTATCACTTTAAAAAATGAAATAAATAAATTTTAAAATAAAGGTACAGACCTGCCTCCAGCCTCACTCAGGACCTAAATCTGGTAGGCTTGAGCCAACTGCCAGTATTCAGAGAATTTTTCAAGAATCATTAGGCCAAACAGCTAATGCAGGCAGGACTTAAAACCTAGATGGCGGGTTGATAGGTGCAGCAAAGCGCCATGGCACACATATTCCTCATGTAACCAACCTACACATTCTATACTTGTATCCAGGAACTTAAAGTAAATTTTTAAATAAAAAGAATCAGGCTGGGCAAGGTGGCTCACGCCTGTAATCCCAGCACTTTGGGAGGCCGAGGCAGGCAGATCACAAGATCAGGAATTCGAGACCAATCTGGCCAACATGGTGAAACCCCGTCTCTACTAAAATACGAAAATAAGCTATGCGTGGTGGCAGGTGCTTGTAATCCCAACTACCCAGGAGGCTGAGGAAGGAGAACTGCTTGAACCTGGGAGGTGGAGGTTGCAGTGAGCTGGGTTCGCTACACTGCTCTCCAACCTGGGCAGCAGAGTGAGACTAAACCTTGGAAAAAAACAAGCGGGGGGATACAAAACAATTGCTTCCTGTCTTTCTTCCTCTCTGCCATGTGAGGATACAAGAAAATGGCCCTCTGTGAACCAGGAGGTGGGCCCGCCACAGGAGCCAACCATGCTGACACCCTGATCTTGGACATCTAGCCTCCAGAACTAGGAAAAATCAGTGTTTGTTGTTTAAACCACTCAGTCTATGACATTTTGTTAGAGCAGCCCAAACTAAGACACTGCTCCAATCTTAATGATCCCCCTACGTTTCCTTCTAAATACTTTCAAAGTTTGTTTGTTTGTTTGTTTGTTTTTGAGACAGAGTCTCGCTCTGTAACCCAGGATGCAGTGCAGTGGCATGATCTTGGGTCACTGCAACCTCCGCTCCCAGCTTCAAGAGATTCTCCCTCCTCACCCTCCCAAGTAGCTGGGACTACAGGTGCAAGCCACCATGCCCGGCTAATTTTTGTACTTTTAGCAGAGGTGGGGTATCACCATATTGGACAGGCTGTCTCAACTCCTGACCTCGTGATCGGCCCACCTCGGCCTCCCCAAGTGCTGGGATTACAGGCGTGAGCCACTGCGCCCAGTCCACTTTCAAAGTTTTGCCTTTCACAACTAGATCTTTAATCAACTGGCTTTTATTTTTGATATGATGTGAACTAGGGATCTAGCCATATTTGCTTTGCATATGGATAATCAATTGTGCAAACACCATTTGTAGAATATTTCATCCTTTCCCAAATAATCTACAAGGCAACTTCTGTCTCAAATTTCCAAGTGTCATGGGTCTTTTGCTGGGTTCCTCTTCTCTTCCAGTGGCTGATTTGTGCATCCCCTGAACACTTCACTGTCCTAATTCCTTTACCATAATAGCATGCACACAAATCTTCAACCTTCCATTATCCACTGACCTCTATGCCATTCTTATTCTTTGAAAATATCTTCATTTAAGTTCTACTAGAAGCAGAGCCTGAGTCAAGGATTCAGGTACAAGCATTTGTTAAGAAGGTGCTTTCAAGAAGCACAGGTAAGAGGGTGGGAAGTGAGATAGGGAAGGGAAGAAAGCCAACAGATGGTGCATTTATGAGCAGGTTGCCACAAAGGGTAACTGGGGCTCAAACTCACTAGGCCCTTCAAAGATACTGCAGCTGAGGGGCGGGGGAGCTGCAGTATTTATCCACCGTCATTCCTCATGGCTGTTTTAAAATGGACACAAGATTTACGTTAATCAGATATACTAAGACACACAGATATGGAAATGACTGTCCTGAAGGAAGGAGTTTTTGATACTCGGAGGTCTCTGGAAACAAGTGCCAATCCATTCTATGCAGGGATACATGGAGAGGTACCAGGGTCAGTCAAGAAGTCAAAGGAGCTAGGGGAAAACATGGCCAAGAGCTTTATTTGTGGCATCCAAGGGAAAGGCAAGGCAAGGCAGGGTAAACAGGCACAGGATTAGCTATTAATAGTTTGAGTAATTTCACTCAGCTCTGGGGTATAGGGCTGTCCCTAGTTGTCTGGTTCATGGCCCTAGGGTGGTGAGGGCAGATGGACAGTGGCCTCTGCCACTGTCGATGAAGGAAGTAGTTGAGGGTATGGGCTTTGGATTGGCTGGTTTGCAGATGGAAGGTGCACTTGCAGGTGAGCCCTTTACTGTCTCTAGGAACTGGCTTGCCCTAGGTGGAGCAGCCTCTCCAGGAACAGCAAGGCCCCAGCTGTCAACACATCAGGAAATACAGGAAATGAAAAGACATGATGAATACACTGAGGGTGCTCTTGAAGGCATGAGCCCCTGGCATGTATGTGGCTGGTAATGCCAAGGGCCATGGGGACAGCACGAACAGTGTCTGCTGCACTATATTTTTTGTTTGTTTGTTTGTTTTTTTTTTGAGATGAAGTCTTGCTCTGTCACACAGGCTGTAGCGCATTGACAGGATCTCGGTTCACAGCATCCTCCGCCACCCGGGTTAAAGCAATTCTCCTGCCTCAGCTTCCCAAGTAGCTCAGACTACAGATGTGCACCACCATGCCCGGCCAATTTTTTTGTATTATAGTAGAGAAGAGGTTTCACCATGTTGGCCAGGATGGTCTCGATCTCTTCACCTTGTGATCTGCCTGCCTCAGCCTCCCAAAGTGCTGGGATTACAGGTGTGATTTAATATATTATTAAATGCAATAGGATGGACAATTGAAGGAGATAACAGAGCCCCAAAAAGAGACCCATATCTATGTATTTGGGAATTTGATATACTGGTATTATGTATTAATGAGAAAAGGATTAATTAGTCAATAAGTAATGCTGAATGAATAGCCATTCTAATGGGAAATAAAATTAGATCACTACCATATACTATTTTAAAATCCCTGCTGGATTTTAAAAAATACAACAAAAATCCTTAAACAGCCATCATCATGAATCTAGGGATTTAAACAAGTTTGGTGAGTTGTAATCCACTGCAGTTATTATCAGTATTGGTGCTCAAGTTGTTTTATTTTAGGCCAGTGGGAATTTACTCACGCTGGCTCCTGAGTCTTTTTGATAACTTTCCTAGTAGTCTTTGCTTTCCAGGCTCATTTT